GAGGAGGAGGAGGAGGAGGAGGAGGGCGGCAGGGTGGCGATTCCCCCCGCCCCGTCGCTTTGCTGCTGCCGCCAGCGTGCGGCATCTACGGCAAAGGCGCCCCTGCGGGTGCCCACTTCCCGTTGGGAGAAACAAAAATCCTTCGCAGGTCACGACAATGCTGGAGCTCCCCAGTGCTGCTCGTGAACGACGCTAAACGCTGGGGTTGTGAGAGATGCCACATTTAAAGGTGTCTTGTGGGACGTTTTAAAGACATAGCAGGTTGCTGTGGCCTTCGTGCAGGGCTTTGCCCAAAATTATGTATCTCTTGCCCCCCATCTGCCAAGTCTTTCAGGTGACACGGCGTGCAGCTCCATCTTTCTGCTGTCAGCGAGGGGTCATCTGGACTTTGCAGCCCTGATTTGATAGTCTTGGTTACCAGAGGCACTCGCCTGAAAAATATCAGCAGAGTAGTCCATTCAGGCTTGTGTCCAACAATTAAAGGTCCCGGTTCTGATTAGAAAATGTGTATACTGTACCTTTATCTCCCACCCATCCATAGGGTTTTAATAGCAGTGGTAGGATCTGTGTATTTGAAAGCACAAATGAATTTAGCAAGCTCTTCATATGGCAGCCACAAATGGGCTGAAGAAGAAGGAACAGATGACCCTTAAACAAGTAATTTGTGGGATTACAGTAATTGTCACAAGGTGTGGTGAGCACCACTAGATTAGAAGAATACAAAATTGGTCATGAGATTTTAACCTGGTAGCTACCAAGGTTAATTTGAATTAACCTTGGTACCTACCAGGGCCCATGAGATCTCTGAAAATTCCAAAACCACCTGGCACATTCCCAGAAGCACAACACATATTTTGGGAAACAAAACAGGCATGAATGGGTGGACTGAGCATGCTCTCTGAACAAAATAGCAACAGGCAGAGATGGTGAGTGAATGGCAATTCCTGAAAAAGGGCCAGGTGTCTGGTTGAAGTGTGTAATCAACCTGATTCATTCACAAAAAGCCCATATTTTCATCCTCCACTCATGGCCCTTCTGTGTTTTCTCCCCACTTCTTCCACCATTTCCCCCCAAGAAACCACATTAAGGAGGAAAAGATGGAATAGCTGCACAGATAATTTTATTGATACTATGACCTACCATGGATTGACTTAATCATATTAGAGTAGGCCTGTTAAAATAACTGGAACTTTAACCAATTAACTTACATTTCATTGTTTTCAAAGGTCTACTATAAATACCTTAATATTAAATCTGCATCCATCTCACATGATTTAATACAAGCTTGGTTTGTGACTGTTCTTCTCAGGGGTGTCAACTTTGTAAAAGTATGTACAAATTTGATCAGAACCAATTTTAAGTTCACACCATGAAAAAACAGAAACTGAAAAAGAAGAAGTATGTGAAACCAATATTTTGTTTCCTATATTCTATAATTAAATATGATCTTTACAAGAACTTTTTAACAACCTAATTTTTGTGGTTTTCTTTTTCCCCATACAACTCATTTATTATGCTTAAACTCGGTATCTTTGGCTTTGTTTCAGGCACTGGAAAAATGTGCACAAAAGGTGCCTCAAGAGCAGATTATGTTGTTTGGCTTTGTTCTGCTGGAGTTGCTGGAGAGCAACAGGGTAAGATTATTAACCTCTGTTATTACTTTGGTTACAGTTCCTTTTGTTGCTCTTGGATTATTATATTAAGTGAACTTAAAGTCAAAGAAAGAAGAAAAAGGAGAATTCTGGTCACAACCTTTAAAGCAAGTATAGGCTACAACCTTTAAAGCAAAAAAGCAGGATATAAATGAAATACAGCAAACAAAGTGTACTAGGGAATATATTTTATTGAATCTAGTAAATCATCTCCATAAGCATGTTTAAGATTTCATGAAAATATGGGTATCTTAAGGCAATATCATCTGCATGTTTTAAATGTAAATACTGATAAAACCAATACCTTTCTGCAGGATATTTCAAATAGTGAAATAATTTTTAAAACCATGTCTATAAGCGGGGGAGAAGGAAAGTGGGCCAAAAGGACAAAAATAGTATGGCATCAGATTCAAGCCTCACCCCTTTTGTCTTTGACGCTGTGCCTATGTCTGAAAGGGGCAAGGCTTGTGCCATGATACTGTATAGCTTTCATCATTCTGACAAAAGCAGACAGCAGAGGTCCATGTTTGTAAGTTCTACATTTCTGTTCAAGTGTGTACAATATAGGTAAAATTTAAACGAATATGCAAAGCCGTTAAAATAATAATTAGAGGAACACAATAATCAGAGTTCTAATTAGTGGAATATATTCTGTGGATTTTATCAAATGTTCCTGCCTTTTTTTACATATGTTGGGGAAATATTCCAAGTCAAACAACCAAAATACTTGAAAGAGTTAATAAAATGCATTTTTATCCCGTAAAAAGGGGGCAATGATCATTGGGCACTTCTCCAGAAAGGAAAAAAGTACTTGGGCAGAAACAAGAGCAGAATATATATTTTTCCAATATACATATTAATTTAACTAATTTCCATTTAATTAATAAAAATTACAAAGTTACAGCATAAATATGGGCATGTTAGTTCTCTGAGAAGATTCCTTATGCTTGCACACTGCATAAACATTTTTATCTTGAGAGTAGATAAAAACTGGTTTTGACCAGTATGATGGTGGTGCTAACTCATCAAATCAGTTAGAGTGTACTTCAGGATTTTTCTTCAAGGCTGTCTATTCTGCTATTGCCTGTATAATCTGTTAGCTTTAACTTTTTCACTTTGTTAAATAAGCTCCCTCCACACACACTAGCAGACAAAGTTCCTTGAGAGCAGAATATTACATGACTTAAGACTGGGAAAAAACCTCCACTATGTTTTACCCTAATTCTAGCTGGTTGTTGTAAACTGAAGTACTATGTTTCCTTTATAATAATATATTTTTAACACATGATTTTGGATATTGATATCTGTTTTATCTTTTCTGATTGGACACAGTAGGATATGCAGTTGGATAACTCTTTTCTTCCTTTTCTAAAGTACTAACCTAAGTCTTTTATCTGGCAAGATAGTATTTCAAATTCAGCATTTTCCCTTTCAAGTGTAGTCCAGCACTCTGTGTCACAGTGGCCAACTGGATGCAGTTGGGAAACTCATGAGCCTGGTTGGGGAGCAACAGCCACTTTCCACTTTCAATTCCAAGTAACCACTGATATGCTGCCTGTAATTCAGAAGGCAAGCAGCCACCTAAATCAGTTGCCATGGACAGCCTGACCCTCCATGAACCTGCCTATTCCCTTTTTAAAACCATCCATATTGATACCATTACCACAGTGACATCATTGTGACAGCAAATTCCAAAGTTTAACTATGCACTGATAGAAAAAGTATTCATTTCTGTCTATCCTGAATCTCTCTACATTTAGTTTCAGTGATGACTTCAAGTTCTAACTTTGTGAGAGTATTTGGCATGGGAGTGGGGGGAGAATGGGACAAAGAGGGCAAATGAAGACACCTGTGTTGTGGTGTCAACTGCATGATGTCACTGCACTTGTCATTTTGGCATCATGTTTTGCTGCAGATGCTGCTGTGAAAGAAAAATAAATTACTGTCTCTTCTCTCATGCCTTTAGCTTCCTGGTTCCAAGCTGTAGAGCCCCAATTGCTGTAATCTTTCTCTGTAGGGGACACATTCCAGTTTTGGGGTGTGATTTTTTTTTTTTTTGGTATCTTTACTAGTTCCATAATATCCTTCCTAAGGTAAGGAAACAGTAATAGCAACTTGGCCGAAGTTTTTAAACTAACAGAACAGGATTGTCGTGAGAACAAGCTACACTAAAATACAGAACCATAGGATTGGGACTTGTTGGCTCATATTTAGTATGGAATCAAATGCTGTTACTAAATCAGGTGTCCCTCATCCAAGCAATACCTGCACATTTGATTCTGTTTCCTAATGAAGATTTTTGCATCTGTCTCTATTATAATTTTATTCTGTTATTTTCAGATCATTTCTCCAACTTACCAAGATTTTTTTGAATTTTATTTCTGATGGAGATTTGAATTCAGCAGGAGCTCTTTTACTGAACTTTGCTTATGTTCAGGAACATATCCTCCAGCAAGAGCTGCTGCTCAATCCAACGTTTTTGCTTATCTGCAAATTTGATAAGCATTACTATCTTTTTTTAAAATTTGTTGTAGAATACAGAGCCTAGGACTTAACGTCTTGACATTCTATTTGATATTTTGTTCTAGTTTGATCAGGAACTATTGATGAGCACTCTTGAAGCATGATTTTCAAGCCAGATGTATATAGACTTAATTGACATGACATCAACCCCTACTTAATTAGCTTCCTAAAGAATGTCACAGGTGCTCGGAGAAATCATGATATATTATATATACAGAATTCTCATGATTTGCTGAAGAATAACTTAACCAAAAAATGAAATAAGATTAGTCTGGCAAGATTTGTTTTAGGCACTATTTTCAAGGTACTTTATGATCTGTTCTAGAATCTTCCCAATTTTCCTGGATCTTCCTTTTTCTACTTTTGAAAAAAGGGCAACATTATTTTATTTATTTATTAAACATATTTCCATTTTAATAATAAATACTCTCAGCAGCTTACATGGAATATAAAAAGACCAATTAAAACATCTGTGATAGCCTATAAACCATATAAACATAATTAACAACAATAAAAACAACACAACCCAAAACATAAAAGTGAAAATAAGAAAAGTTCAAGATGGCATTA